TGTCTCTGTGAACCCTCTCATTGCCCCTGCAGCTCTGGCCTGTACCCCAGTTCTGTATGCATAAATAAATAAATCTTTTTAAAAAATGAACTAGTTGATCATTTGAAAGGTCAGAATATAGAGTTAATGAAGTCAGACACCCTGACTCCTGTCATCCTTTATAACTTGATATATGGCCAACTGCCCTATGAGTAGTGTAGACTCATAGAGAAGGCATTCTTGATGTATCTGCCAAGAGACTTTCTAAAATACACTTGATGATGATAAAAAGTATTATCTGCACAAAGGGGAAACCACCCCAGGTGGATATGACAGATGTTTCCAAATATCACTATCACATCTTAAAAAACACTGAGAAAATCACATGATAAAACAATGAAATAATTGTCCTCCAAACATGTTTTTCCTTCTCTGTTAACAGACTCAGATTCTTTAGAAATTACTCATTACTCCGCTGGGGAACTGCTGTTTTGAGTAAAGTTAATCCTAACTACAGCTCATATCCCTCCTAATCAGTTATATAGTTCAAGGACAGGAGAATAGCTCAGACCTGAACTCATCAGCATATTCTAGTCCCATAGCACTAGCTTCTCTTTGGTTGGAGTATACAAATAAATCTGTCAAATCAGAATGAATCTCAGGAGTTAGACTTAACATATTGGCTTGCAAATAGGGAAACCATTTGTATTCAAAGAGGAAAGAGGAAAGGGAAAAGAATGGGAGAAAGGGCAAGAGACATGGAAAACCCACTGTGTTACAAGCCAATTTAAGTTGGCTTGTAACATGTAAGTCACAAGATACATAGAGCTCCTGACATGTGAGCCAAAACATTTTTTAAAGACAATAACAAGTTGATATTTGTGTTTGAGAAAAATAACTCTTAGCACCTATAACAGACTTTGAACAATAGATTATAGACAGGAAGGTTAAAAGCTGGGAGATCAGTTATGGGACTTTAAGAAAAAAGTTTTATTTAGTTATTTATGCACAGAAGAACTGGGGTGTAGGCCAGAGGTTTGGGGGGGGGGTTCACCAGAGACAGAGTGGGGAGCAGAACAGGAGGGATTTACTGAAATATACTGCCAAGGGGAGCAGCAGGGGAGATAAGAAGGGTTGGCTGTGCCAATTGTGGGTCAACTCCCTGGCCAGGGATCAAAGGCCACAGCAGTGATAGTGCTGAAATTTAACCCTTAGAGCACCAGGAAGGCCAAATTATGAGACTATTATCATAGCCAAATAAGTGTTTGTGAGAACCTAAAGAAGGGGAATGGTATAGCAAGAATAGAAAGAGCCACAAATAATAAGAAGATAATCAGAAGATACAGCAAAAATCAAAAGGACATGGAGACAGAATAAAAGAAAGATTAAAGTAGCAAAAGGAACAGAGGGTTTGAACTGGGAGCCACATAGATGAAATAGTCTGGAAGACTAGGGTAAGGGAAATTTGGGGAAGATGATGGATTCAGGTTCAAAATACAAGTTTTATTGAAGAAGAGCAGGAACTCCTGTAAAGTGCACAGCAACCAGTTCTCTGCAAGTATTTCTTTCATGTCATGGTCCCTCTGGAAGCCAGGGCAAATCAGTCTTCATGCTCTGTAAAAATGGTCAGTATCTTAGACTACTTTCTAAAACTGTTTGTAGTTACTGCAGGTGTTATGATAATTCAGCTGCTTTTAGGTTAAGTGATTAAAGTGCTTTTTAATGATGTGTTACCTCACCTCATAACACAAAATTTATTTTGAGATGAATCACAGACATAAATATAAACGCTAAAGTCAGTTTCTAAAAATAGAACCTTGGATAGGCAAAGGATTAGTCTAAGAAATGCTTCTAAGAACATACTAGCCATAAGAAAAATACTGACAAGTTGAATTTAATCAAATTAAGACTTAATTAAAATGCCTATTCATCTAAATATACAATTAAGAAAAGGAGTAGGCCAGATACACTGGGAGAAGATATTCATGTAATATATATGTAACAAAGAAAGTATATAAAGAATTCTCACAAAGCAGTAAAAGGGCAACAATTAGCACTTCACAAAGGAAGTTATCTGATGAGCAAATAAGCAAAGATAAACTATTCCACATCATTAGTTATAAAGAAATGCTAGCTAAGGTCATTAAAAACTCTAGTAACACTAAATGATAGCAAGGTTTTGGAGGAACTGGAACTTTGCAAAACTGGTTGCTAGTTTTCCATAAGTTAAACATGCATTTACTCATGACCAGCAATCATGCCTAGGTTTTTACACAAGATAAAAAACTTACATCCACAAAAAGTCGTAGGTCAGAATGCTCAGAGTAGCTTAATCCATCATAACTTCAAACTCAAAACAACTCAAATGCTCATCATTTGCCAAATGAAAAAACAAAGTGTTGCATATTCATATAATGAAGTAACACTCAAGCAATAAACAGAAATAAGCTATTGATACATTCCAGTAACATGAATGACTCTGAGAAGCTTTATGCTAAGACCCAATACAAAAGGACACATCCAATGCAATACCATGTATCCACCAATACATAAAATGCACTATGGAGTGTGAGGTTCCCTATAGAAGGGATTAGCTGGTAAGAGACACAGGTAACATTTCTTGGGTTTTGGAAAATTTCTTAAAGGTGTAAGTTAAATAGGCTGATGCATTTGTTAATTTAATGAACTAACTGCATGAAACACATTTAAAAGATCCACTTACGAAAAATAACAAAAATGGTAAACAACCATATACCAGAGACATTTTGCGGGGGTGGAGTGGGGAATGGGATCAAAAACAGGGTGGGGGGAGGGAAATGCACGGGATTATGGTGATGGCACATGGATGACTTGGTGATGGGAAACCAGCGGGGATTACAATTGAGATGGAAAAAAAATGTATAAAATGATGTAAAAATAAACTTTTGTAATTAAAAAAAAAACCTAAAAATATAAGACTTCAAAATGGCATTACAAACAACCGACTAATTTAAGGAAGAGTTCTAGGAGACTCTTACTTGTCCATAGCTCTATCCTTTTCTTTGGAAAACTCCCCTTTCTCATAACTGGCCCCATTTCATCAGAAGGTTGACAGGGTGATGGAAACAGGGAAGGAGGTACCTTCTCTTTCAGTGACTCTGGCTCCTTCATCTTCAAAATGTTCATGTACTCCAACATTTTTGATAACCAAATTATATTTAAAGATATGAAGGAAATTCAGGATTTTTTTTTAAAGTCTAACTTTAGTTTTATGAAAGGCAAAAGGAATTTGTATACATCACCTGTACTGACACTGTTTCCCACATAGTAGGATTTACCCAAAGTGGCAATCCTACTGGATTCTGCTAAAGAGCTTTCTAATCATCTTCCAAAAGGATATAGTTGTAAGGGCTAAAACATGCACAGCAGTCAAGTACTTTCCGCAGCAGCATGCTCAGACAGTAGACAAAGCAAGGGAGTGCTCTCCTTTTAACACACCAGTTCTGTCTGATTGGATTACAGCCAACAACAGGGCTCAGGCAGATTTATCTTTCCAGTAGATCATGTAGTACATTTGCCTAATGCAGTGCCCTAGATTTTACAAATTACATTCTCTGATGTACTTGCAAGTCTGCAGATTTGAACATTTTCAGGGAGGATGTAGACATTTGTATAAAATAGTCTGTTTTGAAGATGAATAAAGAGTCCTATTTTCTGCTATCCTTTTGCTATGAGTCAAAATTTCCGAAAAAGATTTCTTGCCTTTTAGCAAAGTCAGGGGTGAGCCAATATGGTGATGCTCTAGTTGCATTCACATTGCACAACTGGAAGTCACAGGTACCAAAGATCTGTTTGCAAGCTTTAAGACCAAAAGCTGCTATTATGTGGCCTGTGAATAGGCAAAGGACACTTCAAACTATAAATAGCAGAGAACAACATATGGGAGAGATGTTGTGCTAAGAACGGCACCGCAGAGTTCACAATTTGATATGATGTCCATATTACATCAAAAAGTTAAATAAAAGTAACCAAAAAATTCCGATGATTAAGAATTCATTTTCACTAGAAAGCTTTACATGCCATCCCATTGCCATTTTGTAAGTATTTCCTCATCATGCAGTGATACCGACTGCAAAGCGGCTTAGATCTAACTCTTCTTCATGATGTCACAAAACCCAAAATGCAGAGGAATCCAAGTCAGTACTGGTGCAATCTAGGGGTTCCCACAATCAACTTGAAGCAGGCACGGGGCAGCATCCCATCAGGTTGCCTTACTGCCCCGAATGGCCAAACGATCCTAAAAGCTCCATACTAAAATAAGTAAATAAAATACAACAAAAAATCATCAGATTTGCCTGCCGTGTCTCAAGAGAAGTCCGGATCTTCTGTCAATGCGTGGGAAATAAATGGGTGTCAAATGCAGAGTGAAACACAGCCTAGCAAATCCCTTCCCGGAGTAAGGGCTTTACAAATGTGGGCATGAGAAGGATCAACCCCACAGTGTCACAGGAATCCCCCTCTTCCCTCCTCCCATTTCAATTCGGGATGCAAACGAGAGCCGGGAACTGAACAGCAACGGAAATGAGTCTTGTGGCCGGGAGAATGGGAACGCAGGGGTCAGAACTGCGAAGCCCTGACCACAGGGGCCGCAAAACGTGTCAGTCACCTGTCGAAACACAAAGTCCCAGGGGTGGAAAGAAGAAAGGAAGAGACACGTGCTCCGCAGGTAGATAATATCAGAGTTCTCCGGCCGCCGAGGGCGGAGAACACGGGAAAACCGCGGCTTCTCCCCGGGCCGCAGCGCTCCCCACCCGCGCGCCCCGCCCACCGAGGACCCCGGAAAGGTCTCCAGCCCGGACCCGACCCCCGCCACAGGTTGGCCGAGCGAGGGCCTGGGGTGGTTCGCGGCCAGGCTTGCAGGGAGAATTAAGTTTCTAACAATACTACTTTAAGCCTACCAGCGGCCGCGCCACCCCGCCCGGAGACCGAAGCAGGAGGCGTGAAAGCCGCGCGGTGCCCCGCGCCCGACCCGCGGCGCTCACCAGGTACCAGACGCCCAGCAGGATGGTGCCGGTGCGGACATGGCAGCACAGGCAGCAGCTGTTGGAGTAGAACCGCGTCCAGGGCGCGACCATCTTCATCGCTCCGGCCGCAGAGGTGCGAGCGCGCGCCCAAGTTTGCAGGAGCTTCGCTCGCGTGGCCCCCGGCCCGCCCGGCTGCTACGAGCTCCCCGACCGCTCGCGCCCCGGCCCCGCTCGCCTCGCGTGCGCTGGTCCCGCGGCCCTCGCCCGGCGTCTCCCCGTGAGCTCCAGTGGCCGCCGCGGTCGGACCGGGCGCTCCGGGAGCGGCGGGAGAAGGAGGAGGTGGAGCCCGCGAAGGGGCGGGCGGCCCGTGGGCCACGTGACCCGCGCCTCGGGCGGTGATGTCACCCGGGGGCTCCAGCCAGTGGCGGGGTCCAGCCAGCTGCGAGTCCGGAGCGAGTAAGTCCGCCTTCTTGCACGCTGACAGATCCCAGAGTCCGGCTCTTGGTGCAATTCTGGGCCTACCCCGTCTCATTGGGTCATTGTGTACCTCTATCACAGATTTGAGATTCTTGGGTGATAGTTTCTTCCTTACCACTTCTGTCTTGAAGTCTGTAGGTGCAATACTATCACTGTTGTTATCTTGAAAACTGGAGGAGGGTAATCTGCAGTTTATGATTCTGGTCAAAAGCCGTTCTTTGAATCACTGTCTGCTCAGCCAAGAGCAATCTGTCTCAGGTTCGCAGTTAGATTACTTGATAGTAATCTCTTCCCAGAAAATAGAATGCGTGTCAAGGCCATCCCGCTGGCCTTCGCCAGCATTTAATCATGACTGCAGCTCTACAGAAACAATCATCAAGTCAATACTGCCACAAGGTCTCTGCAGGACACAACACACAGCTAAAGAGATACTGAAAGATGAGCTGACTCCAGTTTGAAGTTATTTCCTGCCATCTGGTGTTTTGTCTCGGAGAGCTCTTGTCCTAAATTGGCTTCTAGTAACAGTTAAAGCAAAGCATCTCAAACAGTGTAGATGATTAGCACATGTCAGAGTTTCATTTCAGACTTGAGGAGGAGAAAAACTGGTTGGATTTAAATGTGCAAATATGTTCTGTAAGAAGAAAGGACTGCTAGATAAGATTGTTTGGGGATGGTTGGTTTTATAAGGTCATAAAGTTGTCTTATTATTACTGTGTAGCTTAAACCAGAACCTAAAGGTGCATGAGTTATCCCCAGATGTCAGGTCAAGATCCTTAGTCAGAAAGAACTAAGGAAGTTAGGCTTGGAATCAGCAGTCAGTGAGGGTCAGGGTGGCCCAATCTCGTAAAAACTCAGAAGACCCACACAATGGCCAAAGCAATGGACCCAAAACTCTTTCCAAGAAAAACAGACCAAGTAACTTAGGAGACCCAGCAGGCCCCAACCAGTCAACAAGACATAATACTAGACACCCAAATTCAGAACCCCCACCCCAATGCACACCATACCTATATAAACACCAGCTCCCCTCACAGGGTCCCTCTCTGCTCAGAGTTTTCCTGTCCTACTTCTTATCTGATAATAAATCTCTTGCTTTTCTGCCTAACTCTGGTGATGCAAATTCTTTTCCTCACAGACAAGAACCGAGAGCCCTTTGGGGATCAGCACCTGGGCCCCAAGCCCCACTGAGAATGAGGAGTATCAGTGTGGAGTTTGTCAGAAATACTGGGCAAAAAGTCTCAGGCTTTGTTCTGAGTTCTCATACAAGTTAATTTCCTTTCCCATTACAGATAATGTTCTCTCTTGGATCTTGCAGTTAATATATAATTATACCCAGAGTGACTTTAAAAGCAACTAGAGAACAAACACTTGAGGAAGGAACAGAGATAGGAAAATCAGGATGGGCATGCTACCTTGAAAATCAAACTCCCAGCAAGTTCTCAGAGTTACCTGCTTTCCTTCCCCACCAAAATTTCATATTTATTAAGTAAATGACGTATTTATTCAAGGGAATTCTACGTTTTAGAAAGCTTACTATTCATGATCTGAACTTACAAGCAGTTGCCAGATAACTCTAGGTAAAAAAAAAAGTAGCGGAAACTGCTATAAAAAAGGAGGTAGGAAGAAAGAAATAATACATCTGCAGGCAAAGTTGAAGTAGAGCAACATCAGTGTCTTCTGAGTAGTATTACTTGGATGCAAGAGAATATGAGGGTTGGCTTCAAAAAAAGCAGAGGTTTCTCAAGGAACTTAGTCACACCTGGTTTACTCATTTTCTAACAGCAACATATTTAGATGGAATGCTGACTACATAGTACAGTATGAAAACAAGTACAAGCCACCTTGTTTTCATACCTAGGAGCCTCACTTTTAGGACTAGTGTGTGCCATTTCTGCGGGAGCAAAGGCCAGATAGCCTCCAAAACCATGATGTTTGCCGGACATCCACTCACACTTCTCTCATTCTTCCCTGTCTCCATGGTGCTTCCATTACCACTTTAAATCCTTTGTACTTTAATGACTTGATGCCTCTTTGTCTCCTAGGTCTTTTCCTTGTCTTCTTTTATTCCACTTTTTCTCTCCCTACATCTATCCCTGGCTTCTTTCTTTCAAGTTCAGTCATTTTCCAGTGAGTTAGGGGAAATTTTTATTTTCATTGGATAAAATCACTCTCCTTCCCTTTTTAAATCTTTTTTTCTGTAACCAATATTTCTGTCTTTTTGTTAGAAATACAAATTACCCAATGTTAATTTGAGTAGTGAGTTGATATAAAACATAAAGACAAAGCAGCTACAAGGGCAAGAACATTTTATTCAATCTCTCAAAATTTGTAATTTAGTCTAGTTAGGCAACAGTTAACTATGGCAGTCGAATGACAGGTATCCTGCAGGAGAAAACAAAATACAGTGGAAAAGCAGAAAGGGATTAATTACATTGAAACTGTAGGGAGCTAGTGTTTCAGTTGGGTCTTATAAACAGTGAATAGAATGTAGACTGTAAAAGGGTGAAGCCCCCCATGTTTATTGCTGCTTTATTCACAATTGGAAAGACATGGAATCAGCCCAAAAATGGATGATTGGATTAAAAAGATGTAGTACATATACACAATGGAATATTACTCAGCAACCAAAAAAAAAGAAACATGTGTCTTGTAGCAACATGGATGGAGCTGGAAAAGATCATGCTTGTGAAATAAGCAAGAAAGAAAAGGGAAAACACCAGATGGTTTCTCTCATAGCGGGAATATAACGGAACAGGTGAGAAAATAATGATAATGATGAACAGCTATATATCAGAGACATTTTGTGGGGGTGCAGTGGGTAATGGGATCAAAACAGTGGGGGAGGGAAATACACTGGACTATGGTGATGGCACACAGGTGATTTGGTGATGGGAAGCCCAAGGGGATTGCAAGTGAGATGGGAAAATGCACAAAAATATGTAAAAATAAACTATTATAAAATTAAAAAAAAAAAAAGTGTCTTGCTGGGGGAGCTGTTTAGCGCCAGGCAATGGTAGGAGTCGGGAGGTCTCTCTTGACCTGGATAAGAGTTTATCCCAAAAGAGATCCTGGGATCCCTCTCAAAATTTCAAAAAGGTTCTGTAATTTAACTTTCCTGCAAAGAAAGAAGGCAGGCAATGCTTCTTTCATGCAAAAAGGAATCCATGTGTCTATGCCAAAGGGGACTGTGGAATCTCTTCTTTAACAATAAAAGTACTGCTCTCTAAGTGAGATATACATGGCAAAAGAAAACCTTATAGGTCTCATCCATTCCAAAACAATCAGGGATCTGTTCATTCATTCATTCATTCATTCATTCAATGAACAGGAACTTACTGAGTACCTCCTCAGAGCTGAATATGGCTACCACCTCAGAGAACATGAGATACTCTCCACCTATGAGAAACTCACAAGTTTAAGAATCACAGTATTAATAGTGAGGAGTTAACATTTTAAAAGGAGAGGGGCAGAGTAATGGGGCTGAAGAAATAATAGGGGTGTCCACGTAGGTGAAAGAGGTAACATAATGAGAAGTTTTCCATGCTATCCTGCACTGAGAGGTTTGGAGTATGTTTCCTGTAGAGAATGGGGAACTCTGGATCACAGAGGGTTTCCTAAATATCAAACCCATGTGAATCAATGGTAAATTAATGCCACCAGTTTAAGTACATACAAGTGACAGATGCAGATATACATACATATATATATGTGTGTGTGTGTGTAAAATGGAAAGGTGGAGTCTCTTGTTTGAAATGTATGAGGAATTTCAAGATGGCCACAGTGGAACATTCATCTAAGCATGAGCCCTCCCTGGTACAGGACCATGAAGCTGGCCCTGAAGATAAGCCCACAATCTCTGTCAGAAATTGAAAACAGAACTAAACAGGAAAAAGAAAATGTGATAGCTGCCTTTTGTTTCTCTCAGATAACAGAGAACTACTTTCATGAAGGTTGTGATAAATGCCAATTCCATAGGAGTATGTGAAAGAAAATAAGTAGTATGCTGGATGATTCACTAAAGAATCTGGAACCCATCCCAGTCTGGGGTCAGGACTGTGAAGGTCGGAACATGGAGCTGCCTTCAGTGCTGAATTGCAGCCAAGATGGAAGTCAAAAATCATGATTGAAATGCTCTCAGAGACCCATGTAATTAGTCACATATTTGTTAAAGCACATACTTGGGGGCTAGTCAGTTTCTGGACTGGAGGTTATGTGTGCATAAGACACAATTCTTGCCTCCTCATAAAATAGCAAGAGGGACAAAGAAGGACAGAAGGAGTCATTAGTGCTGGATAGTGTAGCTAACAATAAAGCAACAGTATTCTGATTAATAGTGATATTAAGGTGCACTATATCTAATTCATTGGTGCTTTAAAATTTGGACTGCAATCAAATGCATCGATATCAGTCAGAGTTCAATCAGGAAAGTAGAAACTACTATTGATATTTCAAATGGGGGTGGATGGCATAATACCGGAAATTGGTTGCTATAATAAAATATTTCACAAGTGTCTTCTTGACCCAGTTTTGAAGTCATTGCTTAAAAACCCAATTCCCTCTGACAAACAGTTGGCTAAACCCCACCCAACTTCTTTATCAGGCTCTCACATGCCTAGATTACAATGCACCTATCCCAGACCAGAGGCTCCAGATGCCTAACACAAGGGATTCCCTTTCTTCCTTAGGTCTGAACAATTATCTACTCTATTCCATCCCCAGAAAGCCCTGGAAGCCTGACTGAGCACACCCAGCCTGCTCTGTGAGCTGCCTCCTACAGTTCCGGCTCACTTTGTCGCCAGGTGCAATCCCCAGGTGGCAATCTTCCCTCCTTTGGAGCAAAAAGTACAGGTA